TCTATGACATTTTTAGCAGCGTTCTTAAAGTGATTCCCCACGTATGCACGAACACTCAGGTCGATGTGCAAGATCTAGGAAGGGAGGGAGATGGAGGTAGGAGTGCCCCTGCCCTCCCTCTCCCCCTCCCCCCGCCTTGGACAAAAGACAGATGCAGCGAGACATGAGCGTGTGTGTGCAAGGGAGAAGGGTTCCATTTGTTTTATTGGATTGCTGCAAAATGAGTCTGCATACGTCGTCTTGCACGCCATCAAGAAAAAATCCGGATTATGCAACGTGGAAAAGAGTGCTCGTCTTTGCGAAGGATGATGGAGTTGCCTGACCCGCCGTCGGGCTCTTGTTGCAACCGCTCTCGGGTCTGTTTACACTTGAGTTGGCCGCCGAGACTCAATGCTTGCCTTGGCCTCGCTCTCAGACAAGCTCACTCGGCGGGATACACTTCCCGGGCACCCACGCAAAGGTAAACATTAGGTATAAACACACGCAGATACAAACCACACACGCGCGTTGCATCCTAATACTCTGTCTCAATCTGGTCTGTGTCTGTTGTGTGTCTCTCTCTGCTCTCTCTCTCTCAATGTGCTACTGTGTCTCTCTCTCGTCTCTCTCTCTTCTCTCTCTCTCTCTCTCTCTCTCTCTCTCTCTCTCTCCTCTCTCTTCTCTCTTCTCTTTCTCTCTCTCTCTCTTCTCTCTCTCATCTCTCTTTCACTTCCTCCCCTCCTCTCTCTCCCTCCCTTCTCTCTCCCACTCTCCTTTCTTCTTCCTCCCCTACCCTACCTCCTCCCCGCACTTGTCAAAGCAAATTTTGGAACACTTATCAATGGCCCATACTCTGGCGCTGAAGGCCGGTCACAGGAAGAAATAAACCCGATTCGTCAGCCGGGCGATGACAGAGCGAGCGGACCAGAGCGACGTCAATAAGGAGGAAATAGCGACCAAGCCAATTTTGGGCCGCGTCCCTGGCCGGCCCCCCGTGTGTTCATAAATATTCCCTGGGAATTATATCGCGGCCAGGAGGGCGCAGACCCCCGCGGCGCCTGTCACTTGGTCGGCGAGGAGAGGGTGCGGGGTTGAGTGTGAGTCGGGGTGCGGCGTGAGTGGGCATCGGTGGCATTGGGGCATTATTAGTGTATCGGCGTTGTTTATCGCTGGCCCGGATTGTAATGGGATTTCCAATAGCGACAGAGGAAAGGGTAGGTCGCACTGGTCCGTAATGGGTTTAATAGGACGCATTTCGTTTGGCTAATGTTTTGATATCACCCAGCCATTCTTTGCGCAGGAGTGGGAGTGCAAGGAGCAGGAAAAGGCGGCAGGAACTTTAACTCTTTCTGTCCTGGCACTGGACGACGGATGGTGCCAGGGAGAGAGTGCCTGGTGCCTCATATCAAGGGCAAGGCGGTGATTTACACACTGGCCGAGCGAGGTGATGTAAAGGGATGGGATATTCCCTCTAAAGATAATTACGGCAAATTTCACTAGTAAATTTCCTAGAATATTTTCGTATTCTAAAAAGAAAAAAAGAATTACGTCATGCTTTGAACTAAAGCATGATGTATATGTGTGTAGGCATATATATATATATATATATATTATATATATATATATATATATAATTATATATTATATATATATATGTATGTATGTATGTATGTATGTAATATATATACTATATATATATATATATATATATATATATATATAATATATATATATATATATATATATATATATATATATATATGCATACATGCATATATAGTGCATACATACATACATACACATACACACACACACACACACATATACATATATATATATATATATATATATACATATATACTATTATGTATATACATACATCATATATATATATATATATATATATATATATATACCATATATATATATATATATATATATATAATATATATATATATATATATAATATATATATATATATATATATATATATGGGGGGGGTGCGTGTGTGTGTGTGTATATATATATATATATATATATATATATATATATATATATATAATATATATATATATATATATATATATATATATATTATAAACACACACACACATATATATAGATAGGTAAACAGATATATGTATACTTAGATATGCATTACTTTTCCAACAAGGTACTGTAAAGCGAATAGCTGTATATATATATACATATTAAGATATACAATTATCCAATCCGTGTGTATAAGGGTGGATGAGGCCGATTCATCCCTCTATTGTCCCTTTTTCATTTTCAGATGTTCAAACGACTTCAAACTAAAAGGGAATACAGAGAATCAAAGATCAGGAATGTGAAAATGAAAAAAAGCGAGACAGTAAATTAGAAAAAAATGAAGAAACAGCAGAAATAGTGAACCGTGATGGTAAATACTAGATACTGGGGAGAGCGAGTGACTCAGCAAGAAATGTAAAAAAAACAAAGATAAAGTAAATGGTGGAAAGGAGGGAAGGGATTGTGGCAAAAGGAAGAATTGGAATATAATCAAAGTATACGTTTTGAAAAGGCTGGTGGGACATGCACAATTGAGTAGGTATGAAAAGGGACTTTAATATAAAACTCTTCGTACATTCATATCCTCACATACACACATGTACGCAAAAAAGATCCAAACTTACACACAAGCACACCAAATAATAA